TATAGAATATAGTAATATAGAAGTAAACTTCTGGCAGCAGAACGGTAACAGTTAAAGGGTTAAAAAATGTGGTTAAACACATTTTAAAAAATCATACTTTTTGATATTAATTGTTTGTACTGTGTGACAAATACTGATATTAAAATTGTTCCGTTCATACCTGATTCCTTCTTGTTTTTAATAATATGATATTTAGGGAATTGCATTGAATGCAGTTAGGGTCAATTTGACCCACTCCATCAAAATCATACCCAGAAACCAAACATAATACAAAGTCACATATTTATATAGCACTTTATACAACACAGATTGTTTCAAAGCAGCTTCATAGTAATAAAAAGGAAAATAACAGTGTCAATGTTGGAAAGTTAATCAATTCTGAAACAACTTTAATTTCAGCTATAAAGGAGACAATAGCATTATTCAGCTCCATTAATCTCATCCGATAGCCTAGTGTCAATACAGTTATCGACAGTATTTTCTGAATGATAAGTCTTTTAAACTTTGTTCCAGCACACCTGCACGTCATTTTCAAATGATCCCCAAGACCTTGATTATTTAAGATTGTGTTGATTACAACTAGAGCTGATCTCCGCAGGAAGGTAGATCCCGAAGAGCAGGACTGAGCACCCGTTTTAAAGGTCAAGCGAGAGAGTAAACTGCATTTAATGGTTTGTGTGCTCCTTGATTGCAAAGGTCAAGAAATCCAATACAATGGACAATTTCCTTTCTTTGTTTCTTTTTCAGCCAGCTGCACATATACAACTCATGGAGGTTCCTGGCAAATGTGTATAACATTAGAGATGCTTCCGTCTAGAGGCCACATCGATTGATTTCGCATCACAGTGGAGGTCTTATCTACTGAATCTATCAAGACCAAATGTAAAGGGTAAATAAAAAGCAACAAAGCAAAGCAGAGATCAATACAGACACCTAAATCCAGCAACTCTTTAGAACAGCTGGATGTGATTAAGAGAAGCTTTCAGTGTGAAAACATGGAAAACTCACTTTAAATGTGGGATGAGGGAAGGAAATTGTAATTTAATTCAAATGAGATGATGTGAGAAACTGTTCCATATTTCAATATAGATTTTAACGTAAAAAAAAAAAAGATGGATTTTAAACATAATATGTATGTATAATATTATGTAGGATATCTTCCATTTACTGTTTTTAGGAAGCTCAGTTTCTGTCTTTAACATACATTCCCTTGTTCATTGGTCAGAGTCAGTTGTCTAACAATGTAACAGTACGAAACTGCTTCACACTGAGCTCTGGTGAAGCCATTCAGACTCATGGGGCAGCCACCCTCTCCCATGGTGCTTTGTGTCAGGCAAGATAAGAGCAGCCCCACACAGCTCAAACCGGCTGGTTCCAGACAATGGACTTCCAACTAAGCAATACAGGTACTTAATTTTAGATCAATACCTTTCAAAAAATGGTCTAACATAGGCTTGCTCATGAAAATCTGCACACTAGTGAAATACTCAGTAACCGGTTACCTGGGGTATGCATATAGCTGTAAATCTCAAATTGAATTTAAATTAATGAATTTAAAAAAAAAAACCGTTGACCCCAAAGATATTACACAAATGTTTGGGGTCAAAAATGTTTTTTAAAGAAGTCACTTATGCTCACCGAGGCTGCATTCAATTGATTTAAAATACCGTAAAAACAGTAATATTGTGAAATATTATTACAATCTAAAATGAGCACTTTCTATTTTAATTTTTAAAAATGCAATTTATTCCTGTGGTGGAAGAATTGGATTTTCAACAGAAGTTACTCCAACCTTCAGTGTCACATAATCGTTCAGAAATCATTCTAATATGCTGATTTTTTTTTTTTTTTAATCTTTTTTGTATTATCAGTGTTGAAAACAACTGTGCTGCAAAATATTTTCAGGATTCTTTGAAAATTAGAAATAAAAAACAGAATTTATATTGTTTTTGTAACCAAAGTATTTACAGTACTGTCACTTTTGATTAATTTAATGCATCTTTGCTAAAAAAAGAAACAAAAAACAACAACAAAAACATTCTTAAAAATCATACTGACCCTAAACTTTTAAATGGTAGTATATAATGTCAATTTATATATGAGATATTAAAGAGATCTCATTTTGTATTTTCGTTAACTTAATTAAGATTTGATATATCTAAGTCCATTTTATGAAATGCATGATAACTATCTGCAGTAAAGCAAACCATATGATTCAGCCAATCAGACTTGTACCCAACACAGCTTGCGTGACACTGCTGCCTAGTGGCCGCTACATGAACTCATTTTCTTGCAGGCACAACAGTGATGAAAAATGATTGCATGAAATTTATTGTTGCAGAACTACAAAATAAAACAAGGAAGATAGACCAAGACCATAAACAAATGTTCTTTCTGAACAGTGAGTTGACAGAAATCAGAGAGCTAACATGTAAAAAATTGATAAGACCTCAAGTTCAAATAAATCAGTGCATTAGTCACAAACTAAACTATGACAGAAAAACAATATTTAGGGTTCCAATGTCATTAGTTTTGCTTGTATAGCTCATGTCCTTGTATCTTATGTATGCTGCATAAAAACAAAACAGTTTATGTGCAGCATAATGCAGTAAGGACTTGACTATTTTCCTCTCAATAAGTGTACACTAGTGGTTTTGTAAACTTTCCCTCAATGATGTCTATTTATCGATTTATAATCAGGTTCTTACTACTTAAACAAGGCTTGTCATAGTTGTAGTTTTTAATGACATCTTTCAGCACATTGAAAAGTTTATACTGGACATACTGGAGTTCATAATTTAAATGATTCAGTTTTGTGTTGTTTATGACAAAACACGGTGTATTTAAAACACTAATGTTTGGGAATCATTTTAAACCGAGATTGTTATAATAAAAGTGATGCATGCATTAGAAATTTACAGGCATTGACATGATACGCTTTTGATATATGATAGATCAGACAAAACTGTAGGGTGATTAGAAAGACCAGGCACTGTTAAGAGTATTTCAGAATAATCATCTAAACTAAATGGTATACAATATGCAGTGTATATACAATTTTAAAAAATGGCATGGTTGTAGGTCTTCGACATGTATGAAGGGGAGGACTGTCAGTCACTCCCCAGAGTTTTGTTTGGGATGAGCCCTTGTGGTCTCCAGTGGAACGGCTCAAGAGCAGACATGGAGGTATGATAGATTTGTATTTACACTGCCAACATCTCTCGCTCTGGCTTCTTTTTTACCTTCTCCCGCACTGAAACATTACAAAAAGGTTTTCTTAGCATTTGCATACTGTGCATTTATTTCAGAAATAGAGAAGAAGAAAACACAGACCTGGCTCTTGCTCTGGAACCTCTGGTAGTTCTTCTTCAGGCACCTCAGGAAGTTCAAGGTCAGCTTCTCCCTGAGCACACACAGGACATGTATATAACAGATGAAATCACAGCAGCTGACACAACATCAGTAACAAGGGCTGTCAAGAGAGTGCTCATGTACACACCTGAGTGATGGCCTCCAGCTCTGCTAGCACAGCCTCCTCATCCTCCTGGGTCAGAGATCCTGCCAGCATCTCATCAATTTGCTGCACACACACAGACAACCAGGGATGAGAAAAAAAACACTACATAGTACACACAAGACTGAAACGACAACAAGCACACAAGAGAGATGCAGCATGTCTGTGAGAGAGCTCCAGCTGCCTCTCAGTTCCTCTAGATTTGAGGATGTAGTGCTTGTGGTGTAGATTGAAAAAGATTATTACAGCCTTTATGACTGCTCATCTTTAGACTTTTTATTTTAAAATGATTAGACACAAAGTGAACTGCTGAATTCTGAATCACATACTATTCTTACTATTCCTGCCTAAAAAGATATGGTAAAAACAATAAGAGAAGCATGCAAGTATGTGGTTCTGAATTCAGCAGGTGTCAGTCAAAAACTTTTTCTGCCATGTGCTCAAATAAAGATCAGTGAAAGATTGTGTTGCACATAACAATCTAAGGAGACAATCTTAAGAAAAATCTCACATCCCTACAGTACACTGACAGTTTTTTCGAAACTATTTTTAAGTAAAAAATTAAGTAAAAAGACCAAAATGGTATTTTATTGTTAAACATACTCCAATAATCCCCGTTTTATTTACAACTTGGAAAAAGTTTGTTTTCTGATATTTCCCAAGTGATGTTTAACAGAGCAAGGGAATTTTAACACAGTATTTCTTATTATATTTTTCATCTGGAGAAAGCCTTATTTATTTCAATTTGCCTGGAATAAAATAATTATTAAAAAAAATTGCTAAGGTCAATATTATTAGCCCTCTTAAGAAATGATCTGTTTGATTGGCTACGGAACAAACCACTGTTGTTCAATGACTTGCCTAACTAACCTAACTTGCCTAATTAATCCTCTAAGCCTTTAAATTACACTCTAAGCTGAGGATTAGTATCTTTCAAAACAACTAGTAAAATAATATGTACTGTCATCATGGCAAAGACAAAAAAAATTGTTTAGACTTGAGAAAAAGAATTGTTAATGCTCACAAAGGAGGAGAAGCATATACACGTTTATCGAAGCATTTTCAAGTGTCAAGAACAGCCGTGAGAAGTATTATCAAGAAGTTTGAAGAGACCCACACAGTGGGGAACAGAGGCAGGAAGCGAAAGATTTCTAAAAACTTTGTAAAGAAAACTATTGAGACCCAAGAACAACTGCCAAGACACTAGTGAATGATTTAGTCAAGTCTGGGACTGATGTCTCAACGAAGATGGTCACTAGAGGCCCGCACAGGAATGGACTGCGAGGTTGCCGCCCAAGAAAAACTCCTCTTCTGAAGAAGAGATACCTCCAAGCTAGACTGGATTTTGAAGGACAACCTGGAGGGAAAACTATGTATACTAGAAACGTGTCCTTTGGTCAGATGAGACAAAAGTAGAGCTCTTTGGCCATAGAGATGTTGCCTATGTTTGTAGAAAGAAGGGATACGTGCTCAACCCAAAGAACACCATCACCAGAGTGAAACATGGCAGTGGGAGTATAATGCTGTGGGGATGTTTCAGTGCGTTTGGAACTGGGAATCTCGTCAGGGTCAAAGGAATCATGAAAATGGAAGACAACGAGAAGATTTTGAAAGACAACCTCAGGCAATCTGCAAAACATGGTTTGGATTGACGTTGTGTCTTCCAGCATGATAGCGACCCAAAGCATACCTCATTTCTGGTGTAGAACTACCTCCAAATGAGCAAAGTGAACATCCTTGACTGGCCTGAATCCAATAGAAAATCTGTGGGGCTCACTGAAGACCAGAGTCCATGCCAGGAGACCAACAAATCTGGACTATTATGTTTAGAAATGCTGTGCTGAAAAAATCTTCTCTCTGTTAAACAGCACTTGGGAATTATTTAAAAAAAATAATGAAACATTTTATAAGGGGGCTAATAATTTTGTCTTCAACTGTGTATATGGAAGTGTTAGAATAAAAAAAAAAAAGTAAAATGTAAAAAATTATGTGAACTGAAGAATTATTACTATTACTAAGGCACTAATGAAATGTACAAATTAATAAATCTGTGATACTGATCATATGAACTCTTTAGACAGAGTCAGATGTTTTGGGACATACCAAATATTTTTATTAACGTTTCAATTCAGCTTTTTACTCAAATTTTTATGTTGACATTATAATTTGTAATGAAAACATACACCAAAGTAGTATTTTCTTTGGACGCTGTTGTATATCTGTATGTATTCCCATAAAGAGTCTTATAAGTTCTACTGAATGTGAAAAGTTAAGTTTACCTTCTGATACTCAATGGCATCTTGCGTTTCATCCATGATCTTTTCCACCTCCTCTATGGACAGCATCTGGTTAGAGGAAAACAGAATAAAGATACAATTGTGTGCATGTTAAATTCATCATATTGTACCAAGCTTTAACAAGAATATATTAAATTTCTCATTATGTACCTCATGCATTTTCTTCAGGCAATCATTGCCAACTTTCAGTCCTTCAATGACTTTCATCTCTATTTGTGCAAATTCAATATCTTGTACCTGTAAAAGAAAAATAGTTCTAGATGTGATATTCATGAATAATTTTAGCAGACAAGCTAAAAAAATGCAGAATATGGTGCAACGCCTATCATATACAATATTCTCAAAGATCTGTTTTATTTACCATTCGCTCCAGGTTGCTTATCTGATTTTCAGTTTTGTCCAATAACTGTTCCTGGTAGCGTTTCTTCTTGAGGAGTAGGAGTGCTTTCCTGAACAAACACAAAATATTATGAAGGAGATTCTCCTTGTTTTGGAAACTAGACCTTCTAGTTCTACAGGGAACAAGTGGACAGACAGGATCACACTCACTCTTTCTTTCCTTCTTTTAATAACTGTTTGGCCAGCTGTCGCTCTTTCTCCATCTGAAGCGTGATCTTCTTCTGATACTGCTTCAGTTTATCTCTCTGCTGCTTCAGTTGCTACTCACACACAAATAATAATAATATAGAAAAATTAAATAATAAAAAAGGACAAAATGCACAGTAACGGTCCTATAGCTACATTATACAACACAAAACTGAACTATCACTTTCGGACAGTCGACAGTCAGCATCAACATGGATCCCCGGTGGTACAGTAAAACCCACCATTATGAGACTATCAAGCGTGTATATATATACAGTAACTTCTCTCATTAGAATGATTAGCCAGTTAGCAGCTGTCTAACACACCAGCACAGCTTTGTCCTGCTCGGTCACCCGAGTTGCTTTCTTTTTCCCGAAAAGATTTCCCATGTCGATGCCGCATCCCCGCCACTATCTGTCCAGACAGGGGTGGTGTTTCTAAGATTGAGAAAATGTTAATTCCACAGGCCGCGTATCTGTCAGTCCATAACAGAACCACTGAAGTCTAAGCGGTGTGGAAGAAAACAGCAAGCGACCCTGCCTACCGGAAGTTCTTCTTCTTCATTGGAGTTTTACGGCAGTTGGCATCCATAGTGCCATCTGCTGTCTCACTTTAAAGTCCGCGTGAACCGGAAGTTGCTGCCGACTTTATTTCAGTGTAGTGACGTATTTCCTTCTGAAACGGAATATTGAATAGAGGGCATGGTTTTATTTTGGCGCTCTGAAGTTCTGTACTTCAAAATAAAAGTCATTTGGAAACCACTTGTTTTCCCCATATACCTATACTGAGGAATAATAATAATAATAAACAATAAATTGTATTGTTATAAATTATTATTATTATTATTATTATTATTATTATTATTACAATATTCTGAAAATTTAGAAATTGTAAAATTATTAAAGGTGTTCCAAAGGTAGATTGGTTTGCTTAATATAAAAAAGTCTGGGTAAGCGGCAAAGCAAATATTCCAAATATCTTTAATGGTTAGATTTAGTGCAAAATAAAAGTATGCTAATACTTTCTCTTTTTTACAGACTAATTTACTAAGCTGTTCTTTCAGGTCAGATAGCAATTAAGGTACTGATAACTCTCTAAAAAAAAACGTATTGTAGGCCACCGTTTTATTTTTCCAAAAAGTGAAAGTCTTCCATCGTCAACTACTACTTCATCATGACCGGATGTGGACGTGGCATACATTCTCAGTTCTTCCGGTGCGGGTGAGGAAGGGATTAAACGTCCGTCTCGCTGCTCTCTTTCCGTGAAAGAACGGCAGCCCTATTGCGTTTACCGGCATTTAGAACCGGAACGGCGTCCTGACAAATCGTTCGTTAGCTCATCGAGCTGTTTATGAGGTGAGCTGTCAATTGGCGCTTGATATTTGTTTTTTTATTTGGTTATTTATTTTCCTGTCACTGTTAGCTTAGCTTAGCACATTCAGCACGAGCCGCAGCGTTGAGTCATTTAGGAGTTTAAATTTCATATTTAATACATTAAAGTGACACATGTTGCTGTAATTCATACGATATAAGGGTTTATTAAGGTGAGATGCGTGTTGGCAGACCCAGTGGGTCATTTCATGATTCTGTTTTGATAACCAGAAACGATAAACATCCCAAATTAGCTTAGCAAGAGGTTTGAGAGTGTGTGGATTTAATGTCCTCGTACGCCACTCGGTGATTTTAAACATGAAGTCAGTTATTAAAGCCTAATGTGTGGTGTAACTAAATGACTCCGTAGTATATTATTCAGTTTTAATAGCAGATGTGTCGTTGCTGCAATGCATCTGCTTGACTGTTATGATTTTGTTTCTCTACTTCTTGATTGACATTTCAACTTCGAGTGTCTTAAAGGGGTCATATGATGCGATTTCAATTTTTCCTTTCTCTTTGGAGTGTTACAAGCTCTTGGTGCATAAAGAAGATCTGTAAAGTTGCAAAGACTAAAGTCTCAAATCCAAAGAGATATTCTTTATAAAAGTTAAGTCAACCACGCCTACCTAAAACGGCTTGTTCTAACACGCCCCCACGTCTACGTCACAATGTGGGAAGATTTGCATAACGCCGCCCAAATGTTCACGCAAAGAAAGAAGGCGTAACTTTTATTCTCGCTGTTGCCGCCGCGGCCATGTTGTGGAGACACTGTGTGTTTCGTTGTGAAAGCGAAACTACTTTTTTGGGCCTTCCAAAAGAGGACGATATCCGCTTAGTCATGCCTGGAGCTGATCCGTGCTGGTCGCTGAGGAAATACATCAACTTTGCGCTGTGGATCGCCGGATCGGCTTTCACCGTGGACGAAGCGGAGTCCAGCCCGGGTTCATCACATGTGGTTGCCGCAAGCCCGCCGGACACTCCTTAGTCGAATCCGCTGGCCGCGCCGTTCTCAAGCCCGTCCGCCTCTGCTCACTCAAGCCGGCCTCCTCTCACTCTAGGCCGCGGCTCACTCAAGGCCGTGTGTGACGCTGTTTCGTTGAGAAAGCGAAACTACTTTGTTTGGCCTTCCAAAAGAGGACACGACTAGAAATCAGTGGTTAAGTTGTATTTACAACACTGTTCCAGAACAGTTTAACCCAAATATTCAGATGTGTCCAGCGCATTTTATGGAGGACTGTTTCCTGATCCTGGTAGAGTAGACTACAATGCCGGCTGTTCAATGCCGGCTGTTTGTAAGTACGTTTTTTATATTTAAAGGATTTGCCACTGACGATTCAAACGCGAGTTTTGGGCAGTGTAGAGTAGCACTTGTTTGTCATTTCTCCGATCACAAATGCAGACATGGTTTTATGTTTACGCGGCGCGATGCAACGCATAAAAAGACAATATAAGTCATTATAATCTGTAATTCTGTCCCCATTGGATGGCAACAAATGCCTCATTTATAATGGTTTTTTTTTTATGTTTATGTCTCGTAGCTCCGGCTGGACAGGGCCTCACAATATGGTAAGGGGCGTAACATTTCCGTCACACGCTTGAGGTATTCGACCAATCACAACGCACTGGATAGCTGGCCAATCACAGCACACCTCGCTTTTCGCAACGATGAGCTTTGTAAAAATCGACGCGTTTCAGAAAGGCGGGGCATAGAGGAGAAACAATAATGTACAGTATGTGGAAAATAATGTGTTTTTTTTTTTACCTTAAACCGCATAAACACATTTCATTACACCAAATACACAAAATGTTCTTTTTAGCAGCATCATATTACCCCTTTAATGTCATCATCTTAATTTATTTTTAGTTTGTTGTTGTTGTTGTTTTATTGTTTTACCAGTTTAATATCCCTCTCAATTGCTTCTATTTTATACATTTGTATGTATGAAAGTGAAAGCATGACACTGGGTGGTGTGAAATACTAATTTTCTTTTTTCAAGTTGGCAAAAAAAGGATGTTTACCTAAAAATCAACACTAAACAACTTTAATGCAAGTTTCTGTGAATATTCATTAAAAAGAGAATTTCTCTTGTGTTCACCATAGTAAATTAATGTGTAACTATGGTATCTGCCATATGTTTTCTTTTTAAACCACGCCCCCTATATATGACCGCTTGTTAAATGTAAATCTACTTTCATTACATTTTTGAAAGGCTGCTGCTTTTCTAGCAAGCTTTGTGGTAAAATCCACAGATGGAAAAGCAGTTTTTAGTGGCACTTGCTTGTGTGATCATCACTGTCTTTAAGCCTTATGGCAGGAAACCAGTTGCTTGATCAGGAGACTTGTGACTCCAGTTTGAGTCTCAGACTTGAGTTTCCCTCTGTGTATATTCAGGTCATCCAGCAGGCCTGTCATTTCATTTCAGACAGATAGATGGAAAATAAGCACGTTTATCTCTGTAAGTCCTCGCACATGTGATGCTGTATACTATTACGTTATCCATTGCCTTGAATTATTCAACATTATTCAAGGCTTCGTTGTGCTAATGCTGCTTTGCTATTCTACTTGCTAGAAATGAGGAGTAGTAGTTTTAAAAGCTGATTTATTAAAAAATATACATGTAGATATTTTATAATTGCTGTTAAAACTACTTTTCTATCTGTATTTTGTGGGTTTTCGTAACCTCTATTAAGAAAGCAAATGTGCTGGCAGTAATTGTGTCATTTGAGTCCACTCCAGTCAGCTTCTGTTTCATTGATGTTTGTGAAATTGATATGTGGGAGACACTATTAAACACCATTATATAAGCAGCTTCAGGAGTTACTCTAGTAAACTGTTGAACTAACGAGTTGAAGAGTCTCAGATGTTTGAGGTGGGTGTGGAACACAAAATACGTCAGACGTCTGTTATGTGCTGTGAATGTTATTAGGGTGTGCTTTCTTTGAATGTAGGTTATGTTTTTGAGTATCATCATAATTTACTTTAAATAGTATTAAGCCTATACAGGCCTGAAATTTCAGGTTGGAAATGAAGATACTTCAATATTTTATAGTTTAAAGTTGACATGAAAAATTGACCTTTTTACTTTCTCAGTGCATATTCCGAGCCTCCAATGAATGACTCCAAATACCAACTTTTATTCATCACCATGTAATAACTTGCTCAATTGTGAAACAACTTTTCATTTTTGGCTGACGATACTTACTAGGCCTTGCAGGCTTTTGGTTAATACTTATTAATAACCAAATAGCTGTTTTGGCATAATTTTAGGGCATTTTGGAGTATTGTAGGTACTGCCTTTCTAAACTCCTGCCAATAGTTAATTCAGCAGTTTCATGCACTGTAAAAAAGATGTAAATAAAGATTATTGGAGTACATTTTTACAAGAAAATACTATTTCAGTCTTTTAATTCAAAATTCATGTTTAATTCAATGTATTAATTGCTGTTTCTTGGTAATTAATTGTGAAATTTACTAACAATGTCTAAGTAAAATTTGTTTTTACACCAATTTTTGTGTGTGCTCCTATTAACATTAATTTATTAAATTATGATGCCGAGATGATGTTTAAGGTGAACTTGACCTCCACCTAGACCTTCATGATCCACTGCAAACTTTCATTCATTTCTAACTCTATTCTGGTCTTCAGTGCATATTTTTTATGGTCCAATCAATTTCTTTTGGATGAATCAAATCCCATTGTAACTTTTTTTTTTTCTCTCTCTAAATACCGTTTTAGTAAGAAATGTCACACTGTGCAAGTTGTGAATATTACTTTAAGGGGCTTTATTTATGATTTGATGTGTAGATGAGATGTGCATTTACCACTAGGCCTAATACTTCCTCTGGAGTACTAAAGGAATCACTTTTCTCTTTATACAGGGGTGAAGTCTGTGCTAAATGTGACCCTGGACCACAAAACCAGTCATAAAAAGCACGGGTATATTTGTAGCAATAGCCAACAATACATTGTATGGGTCAAAATTATCGATTTTTCTTTTATGCCAAAAATCATTAGGATATTAAATAAAGATCATGTTCCATGAAGATATTTTGTAAATTTCCTACCGTAAATATATCAAAACGTAATTTTTGATTAGTAATATGCATTGCTAAGGACTTCATTTGGACAACTTTTAAAGGCAATTTTCTCAATATTTTGATTTTTTTGCACCCTCAAATTCCAGATTTTCAAATACTTGTATCTCGGCCAATA